AAATTAAAAATACATTTCACTAAACAAGGTATAAAAAAGTTTCACACTAACTTTTTTTTTGTTTTTGTAAATATTAAATCAGAAACAAACAAATGACCAATCAAAACGGGCCAGGAATACATGCGTCTATCGGACACTCATGTTGTCTTACAAACGCACGTTTGCGTTATGTTTTTAAACTGCTGTTTTGTGGAACATTATCAACAATATCCAAGGGGCAGTGCTCCCCCACCCCTTGTCGGACAGAGCTCGTCAGGCAGTCAGATCATAACAAATATAAAAATAGGCCCACACCAAGCCAACTCATGTCTGTCACAGCTTGAAAGTGCCATTTCCGGCCATCCAGAAGTTCCTATTCTTAAAAAAAAAAATCACATTTGGGAGGGGGAACTCCTTTCCCCCCTCAGGCCTACAAGTTCAAGTTTCCCTGTCGGACAGCTTAGCGCCCCCCCCCCCAACAGAAAATATATCCTAGAGCCGCCACTGCAAAAGGAACATGTAGTCGTTCCAAGTTGTCCAGAATTGATTTAAGTTCATATGAACCTGACCAATGCTTATATATAATACCACTCACTCACTCAATCAACCAACCAATCAATCAATCAATCAATAAGTTGACATTTATTGGTTAATAGGAATTACCTTAAGTGAGGGATAATTGATCAAAAGCACCTGGATTCTACTACCTCGTTTTAAGTTGTATCAGAGTTATATCTCACGCAACCTCTGGAGACGGGAAACATAAGAATAGAAATAAAATTACAGAAACTCATAGATGCATATCATATTCTAATCATTTCTCTAATATTTATCTATTACCTATTATAATTATTCTATTTACAGAAGTCAAAGTGTGCCCTCTGGAGATTGTGGAAACATGAATACTGTAGAGATAAAATCACAGAAACTATAGCATATTCTAATAATTTCTAAATATTTATCTATTATTATAATTATTATAATTATTATATTACGGAAGTCAAACAGTGCCCTCTGGAGACTGTGGAATTACAAGAACAGAGATAAAATTACATAAACTCTATGCATAGCATATTCTAATCATTTCTAAATATTTATTTATCTAATTATTATCTATCATAATTATTCTATTACAGAATTCAAACAGTGCCCTCTGGAGACTTGAAACATAAGAATAGAGATAAAATATTACAGTCAAGTCAAATTTCGCATAGAAAACAAAATTAAATTCATATACTGTATGTATTTGGGTAATCAAATTATCAATTGATTTTAATGATGTAAATTATTAACAATAATTATATTTGTTGTCTTTCCATATCTGAAACTGTAATTTATCTTTTTATGTAAAGCACATTCAACAAATGTTATCTGA